ATCAGCCGGGTGTGGTGGCGCACACCTGTAATCCCAGCACTTGGGAAGCTGAGGCAGGAGGATCACAGTGAATTCAAGACCAGCCTGGGCTACATAGAGAGTTCCAGGTCAGTCTCAACTACATAGTGAGACCCTGTCTCAAAAAAACCAAAAAAAAGAAAAAGAAAGAAAAGAAGAATCAGCTAGTTTGGGTCCCAGTTCAAACAAACATGAAGCACTTTCCCAGATACACTGTTGTACTTTAAGTCTGCAGCAGAAAAACCCCTTGCATTCTTCCCACTAAAAAGTTGTGCGCTCGAGGGCTGAGATTTAATATTCAATCACCTCTGCTGCCTCCCCAGACACACGTAAGGCTGGCAATCACAGCCCAGGGGGTGGCTGACAGTGGAGAATGCCTAGGGGTGGATACCACAGGTAGTGAGTACTAACCTGGGCAAAGGCCAGTAATTCTAAATATTATAAAAAGGGTCCAGGAGTCTGCTAACAGCTCTTTGAGAACAGATGGTATGCACTGTCACGTACTTCTAACAACTCATTCTACAAGCAAGGAAAATGAGTTCCAAAGAGGTTAAGGACTGGCCTGAAAGGAAACACATTTGACACTGAAGTCCTCTTTCCACGAAAACAATGAAATCCTGTGCAAGCAGCCTATCAACCTTAGAGTAACGAATTTTAAACAAATAAAAGTGTAATTTCAAATGGCTCCATGAGCCAGGGTAGTGCCATATGCCTGTAATCCCTACAATCCCAAGGCAAGGGGATCATAAAGTCAAGGCCAGCCTGAGTGACTTAGTGAAACTGTTTCAAAAATTTTAAAAATTTAGGAGGCTGAGGCAGAAGGATTGCCATGAATTCAAGGCTAGCCTGGGCACAGTGACTTTAAGGTCAGCCTGAACAACATACCACTTTGTTTTAACAAAAAAAAAATAATTTTTTTTAAGGGCTGGGGATTTAGCCCAGTGATGCTGCCGCCTGCCTGGCAAGGTCCTGAGTTCAATCCCTGGGTACAAAAAAAGAAGAAGAAAAACAAATCTTTAAAAATAAGAACCAAGAGGGCCGGGGATTTGGCTCAGTGGTGCCACAGCCTGTTGAAGCCAGAGGAGTTCAATCCCCAGTATCAAAATAAATAAATAAACAAGAACCACCAAGATAAATCACGGAAAGGCACAAGATCACAATGACGAATGTAACTGTGCTGTATACCTCAAATGTAACAATAAACTTCATGGAAAAAAGCTTCTTTAGTAAAAAAGGGATAGGGATGTGAAGGCCTTGGGTTCAATGCCCAGCACCACCACCAAAAAAAGGCATCTCTAAAGCTCTACAAGGGAGGGCCTGTAGAAGCTATGAGGGCGACTCCCTGACAGAACGTTGCCCCTGCCCTGCCTCCGCCGGCTGTGGACGTGGCCCATATGCACCTGGAGGCAGAGGGGACCCATGGGGGGAGGGTTTCCACCAGGAAGCAGGATGTGCATGCTGCCTGCTGGGGGCATGAAGTCAAAGTCCCCTCCTGCCCAAGGCGGCTAAGCCAGCCCTGCTTCCCTTATCAGCGTCAACACATGCATGGAATGTGGGACTTTGGAAACAATCCCCTCCCCTCATCCTGCACAGGGGCTGCCTGGGGCTCACACCTGGCCTTCTGGGACTCAGGTTCACCTACCACAGCCGAAGGGCAACCCAAGCCCAGTCCTTCCGGCACTTCAGAGGCTGTGGCTTGGTCTCTTCGCTCCTTGATCTGACCTGGCGGCCATTTATGGCAAGGCCACCCTACTCCCATACCACCAGTGCCCCCACAGGAGCAGCTGTCTCTCATTTGACCACACTGAAAGAATCGCAAGAAAAAGGGAGGTACTCAGCTCAGCTCAGTTCCCCCTGCAACCCAGGCCACCCCACAGGCCTCTCCTGGGGGTGGTCAGCAAAACCACGTTTCCATGGACTAGAGGATTCTAACGTGTCACAGGGGAACAAGCTCTGGCCCTTGGGAATGAGAGGGACCCAAAAGGAACCACACTCTAGCTCACTCAAATGGAAACCTCTGGCCAGGAAGTCAGCTCAGTGGTTTCACCACCTGCCTTGCAAGGGCAAGGACCTGAGTTCAATGCTCGGTGCCAAAAAAATGAAAACCTCAAGCCAGGTGCAGTGGTGTGAGGCCTGCAGTCCCAGCTACCCACTGAGGCTGAGGAGAGAGAATTACTTGAGACCAGGAGTTCCAGACCAGCCTGGAAAACACAGAAAATAATGAAAATCAGGCTGGGGATTTACCTCAGTATTCTGTCGCCTGCCTCGCAAGTAAGTGTAAGGACTTAAGTTCAATTCCCAGTACAAAAAAAAGACTTTAAAAAAATAACGAAAACCTCAGCTGTCTGCAGTCCTAGCATCACTCAGAAAAAGAGACCTCTCAAGGCACAAGGCTTCTATGCACACACTTGTCACAACTAGGTTACTTCCTAGCTGTGCGACATGCGAATTAACCTCTCTGAGCCACCTGTACAATGGATTGATAAAAAACCAGCACCCCACGGTATGTCTTGAGGATTAAATTCAAGGATAAAAGTCCTATGACAAGGCTGAGCACAAGATAAAGAGCACAAAATGGAAGCCTACCTTCTTCCATCCCTGCCCTGTTACAGTGGTCTCCCAGTTCACGAACTCAAGTCTCTCCATGATTCTGGTCACAAATTGGACAAGAACCAAATCAAATTTCCCCATAAGGTCAGCATTGAATGTAAGCGCTCAAGAATTTGATTTGGTTCTCATCTGACTTGGTTTTCAACCAGAATTGTGGAAAGAATCAAGTTTGTGAAGCCAGGTACCAGTTTTGTGTCGGGAACTCTGCAGAAACCAACCCCCTCATTTTCAAGCAAAGTTCCCAGAGCACTTAGGCAGAAACCATGAACCGCCTTCTGCCAAACAGAAAAGCCATGAGGCGGCCTGAGTTATTTAAAAAAAAAAAAAAAGGCAAAAGGTCCAAGGCAGATAGGTACCCACTCCCAAAACCACTCACTCCTGAGATCAAACCCCCTGGGCCCATCCACCCAATCCACAAAAATGTGAGAAGAGGAGCCAGGGGAGGCCAGCTTGCCTTAATCCCTACCCCTCCCTTCCTCCTCAGTTCCCACAGCACCCTTGCCCCAATCTGCCCGCGTCGCTCTCCCTCCTAAATGACCCTCCCTGGGCCATGCCACCTCCAGAGGTCCTCGGCCCCACTGCCTGGAAAGCTGCCCGGCAGGACAGCCCATCGCTGCACCAGCAAAGGGAGCTAGGCTGAGCAGGCCTTGCCTGAAGCTGTCTCCCTCCCACACTTCCTTTCCTGACTCTTAGGAGGAGAACACACACCTTGCCCAAATAACACAGTCCAGGGCTGGGGATTTAGCTCAGTGGTTCTGCTGCCTGCGTCGCAAGCGCAAGGTCCTCAGTTCAATCCTCAGTACCAAAAAAAAACACAGTCCAGGAAACAAACCTCAAAGACCGGTCTCCCCTCTCCCAGGAAAATCCAGGTCAGAGACCTGTCCAGTCACACTTTGGCTGTGGCCTCAGAGGACTTGTCAGGAAGCCACAAGGAATCCAAACCACCTGTCGGGCTACAGAAAGGCCAATGGAAACCCAAAAACGCACCCAAGAAACAAAACCCAGGCAGCAGGGTGGGCCCAGTTGAGTCCCGGGGCTGAGGAACAAGGAGGTTCCCCCAGGGGACCTCTCAGAAAGAGCCCTCTACACACAGCCCAGTGATGCTCCTTTGGTCAATAACAGAGTCACCCTAACTTATTCTGTCCACTCATCCAGTGCACAACTGTTGATCCCACTGGGTCCTCAGGGTGAAGCAGCTCTCACCACCCCCGGTCACAGCACCGGCCCAGTCAGACTCGCCGCGACTGCTTCCACTGTTAACGTGGCTGCAACACCACCGGGGCAGCGGCTCGCAGCCTCGGCCGCATGCTGTGCTTACTGTAGGAAACGGGAGCACCTGAGCCTGCCCGAGACAGCCTGGCTCCCAGATCCAGCCTGAGACTTCGGTGGGGACAGCACTGCAGCGGGTGTGCGGCCGCGCCCACTGCCCAGAAAAGCCCTGCTGCGTCCCCGCGGGACCACGCCACGGAGGTCCCAGGCCCCACTCTTCCTCCAATGACGACTCCCCAAGAGCTTACTACCTGCCCAGCCAGCTAGGTAAGGGAGAGTAGAGGCCGTGGGGTAGGGCTCACAACTAGGTGAAGAGGCCGCGAGGCTCGAGTCTCGGAGATGTGAGTGGCCCTCTGCTACACTCTTTCAAGAACCCACTGACCTAGAGGTGCTCCCAGGAATGAAGCCTGAGGCCCCGAGACAACTCTGCATAGTTGTCACACCCATGCCCGAGCCAACAGCATCTTCCCTCTCTGCACAGGGCCAGATCCCACGAAACTCACCACCTCACCAAACCTTTAACCACATCGCTCCTGCAATTCCCCCGGGATGGAGGGGAACCTGGTGAGAGTCTGCCCTTTCCATACCCCACACCCCCTCCTCACTCACAGCCCTTTGAAGGGAGATTAACCTCAAAAAGGAGACAAGTACCTCGTAGGTGATACCACCTCACAGAAGGGCCAGGCCTTCCTCCTCTTATCTTGGCGAGGATCTTAAGAGGCTGGAAGGACCTCCAAGTTCCCCTGCTCTACGTGCAAAGCCACACACCTCGCACCCACACACACACACAAACATTACCATAAAAACGTGAACAATGAAGTTGAATGGTCAGGAGGACGAGTCCCATCAAGTCTGGCAGCCTCTTGCCAAGTCTCAGGGCTTCTTAGGGTCCCTCTTCTGACTAGTCCAGCCACACCTCTCTCAAGGCCCTTCCCTTCTGGGCGGTGGTGGGGCCTGAAATCAGCTCCTGGCCTTCTCTTTCTTATCAAGCTAACGAGGGCCCATCCCCGTGACCCCACCCCCACCAGCTTTTCTTGCTTTGCCACTCCTGGCTAAAACTGGGCTCAAGGCAGGCTGTCCCTCCTCACAGCCCTCCCCCAGCCTAGGTCCCTAAGCCTTAGGGCAAGGCCCCTCCTAGCAGGAAGCAAATCCTGGTGGTGCCAGGCAGACTCAAACTGGACGGGCTTGTTTGAAAGCCCCTAACCAGGAACCAAGACCTATCTTGGGAAAGGGGCTCTCTGCCCCCTGGCAGGATCCCAAATCTCTCCAGATACCACATTAGAGGCATTTTACCCTCCAGTGTCACTAAGTTATTTAACCTTCCAGTCTCGTTTACTGTCTGCAAAAAAAGGAGACTCGTGCAGAACTGGAAGGATTGGAAGTGGGGGAGACTCCTAAGTGCCCGCCCTACTGCCCTGCCTTAAAGACTGTCCAGCGGTAGGCAAGTCTGTGAATACCAGAGAGCAGAGAACAGCCGGATTTAATCTAGCCACAGAGGCCAACAACTGAGTTTGTGCTCAGAAAATGTGGCTGAATGAATAAAAAGCTCACAAAGAGCCTCATACATGCCTGGCAGGCAGTGGGTGCCCAAATTGTTTTGTTTTGTTTTGTTTTGTTTTGTATTGGGATGGAACTCAGGTCCTTGCCCTTGCGAAGCATGCGTCAGAACCACTGCCCTAAATCCTGGCCCAATTTTTCAGTTTTTTTGAAACAGGATCTCACTATAAAGTTCAGGCTGGCCTCAAACTCACAGCATTCCTCCTACCTTACTTAGCCTCCTAAGCACTGGGGTTACAGGTATGCACCACTGCGCCCAGCTCGGCGCTGGCTTTTTTTTTTTTTTTTTTTTTTAAACTGGCTTCTTAACACATCTGTGGGTCCACGTTTTCAACAGTCTCCCGACCATCTCTCTGTTCTATCCTTCATGAAATCACACTGCCTTTGAAGGTAGTCACTCCCTGACCAAAACTGCTCACCTCCGGGCAATCATAACCCAGCATGGCATCCAGGGCTCTCTTCCAGCTCAGGGCCAGCCCCACCACCCTGCCACCACACTGTACCCGTGCCAGTCCTTGTCACTACACAGTATAACCATTTGTTTGCCTGCTGTCTTCCTCAGGCTAAGCTGTGGCGCACAGGCAATACATGTGGATGTACACTCAAATTCCGTCCCCATTTTAGATGGGAACACTAAAGTTCAGAGTGTTAATCACTGTCCAAGGTCACAAGGAAAGTAAATGGCAGAGCCAACGTCACACTCCAGACTTCCTGACCAAGTCCAGATCCCCCTCACTGCCCTGAAAGGATCCCTGCTCAGCAGGCTCCTGGGGAAGCTGATTACTTCTTCCTGAGATCCGGCCAGAAGCATCAGGAAGAAGTGCTCCCACCAACTCCCAGTGATCAGGTTCTGGGCAGTGGCCCTCAGCACAGTGGGCAAGATCAGGTATGGGGTGGGGCTGACAGCTCAAGGCCAACAGGCCAAGCAGAAAGGGCAGGAGCACAGGTCCTCTGGGTAAACTGAACTTTATTCCTTCCTCGCTCCAGAACTGTCCAGCCCCCTTCTCCAGGGGCCAGCTACTGACTAAAAGGCACTACCAATCTCCTACCCCACCCCCTCCAATTGGACCCTGACAAACAAGAAAGACTCCTAGTAAGGCAGCAGGCCCATCAGCTCAATAATGCAAAACCCTGTTGCTCCTAGTCCACAACAGCTGACTTCAAGTGGATCAGAGGCTGTGCTTATTAACAAAATGAGAAATCTGATCTATGGAAAGAAAACACTACGTGGGGATTAATCCTGGACTGCAGCTTGTGGAGGAGCCTGGGCTGCTGGCCAAGACCTGGGAGCAAGGACGGGATCCTGCCTACCTGTCCCCTGAGCAGGTACTCTGCAGAAAGACAGCAGGCATCACCTCTGCCCCACCTGTGCCTCCTCTTCTCCTTCCAGTAACTACAGCAATCATTTTGGTTTTAATTAAAGACCAGATTCCCTCAGGCTGCTTCTTCCTCTATGCAAAGCC